GTCCGTTGCAGAAATTGAGACGATAACAACATTTCATATGTAAACAGAAGCCCTATCCGGTATGGTTTTTGCGTCGGACGCAAAGTGATCCGATACAATGTAAACATAGCCTTAATTCATTGTTCCAGTATTTATATAGTTCACCGGTCTGGTCTTTACTATACTGTATATATATAGGTGTAGTTCCATTCGCAGCTGTACCGCGTTTTCTAGCAATTTCTATTAATTAATTACAAAATACGCATTACTGATTAAGCTCTTCGGCGTCTGCACTCAAAATAAAATTGTTTGATAATGAATGGCACATTATTAATTAAGGACATAAAGTTGTCTATCTATACAGTAATCACACTTTATTTACAACATGCAGCAGGCATAATTGATTTCATATTTACACCAGCGTTGCCTGTTTAATTTGGCGACTGGAAGAGTGGCTCGAGGAACACCGCGGAAAAACGTCTGCGCATGCGTCAACCTTACCTGTAATAGTATTGCGAACTTGATGAGAAGCTGTTCCGAACGTTTCCGAAGGCTCAAAATGGCAGTAAAAAGGAGTGACTTCATTGTGCGTCTTTACAGCCAGATTTCAAGCGCAAAAATAAACATGTCATTCTAAAAACTAGAAATAAATACAGCCAGAAGGTTAAAGAAATTGTATTGTACAAGAACATGAACTAAAGGTGATTGTTGACAAATTTATCGTCTGAAACATTTTGTTTATCAACTAAGCAATGACAATTTCCGAATTTTCGTTTGAGATACATTTCTTTAAAAAAAACTGTGTCGCCAAATATAAAACATTTGCGTGTTCACAATAATTAAACTTTAGGATTTATTCTACAATTTGAGTGGGTTACCAGAGTGCATTCCATGCACGTTTTGTGGAAGATCTTCGGCGTGAGTTTTGAATTGTTGGCGCACAGTCACATCGAGGTTGGCGCACAAGTTTTGAGTTTTGGTGGTTGGCACAGCATCAAATGTTTAAGCGAGACTTTGAGTATTAATAATCTCCTGGTGATTGGAATGGCCCCTATAATTCTTTAAGTTTAGGGACTCGAGAAATTTGTGTTCCTGGTCAGTGTAATATTACTAAATGGTGGTTATAACTTGTGATACAACAGTAACAACACTCATATCATTGCTCATCAGCAAAACATCTTATTCATCAACTACACGCCTTTTTAGCAAGTTTTTATTTTTAAAAAACCCACTATTAATGAAAAATCACGGTGCCCACGATCAGCCGGCACACAAGTTGACCTCACTTGGCGCACAGCAACACTACCTCAAGATTATCTTCGGCGTGAAGTTTACACGGAATGCACCCTGGGTGGGTTAAGAAGCTTAACTTTTCGAGAGTTTTCTTAACTTTTTAGTTTGAATTTTTGTTTTGAATAATTTTGCAAAAAATTTTCTAAGTCGTGTCCGTTAAAATCAACATTTTTTTTACATGAATTATATTTCATTCCATACTTTAAATGCCAGGACGCTTTCAATTAATGTCTAGTCTACCCATTTGCTATATTTTCTCGTTTGTTTTACTAATTTTTGACCAATTAATAAGCATGTTTTTGTTTTAGAAATTGATATTCAAATTCCCCGCCATATTTTCATAATTTGGTGCATGCGCAGACGTTTTTCCGCGGTGTTGGTTATAATAGTCTTTACTTTTCTGCTAATTTTCGTCCATTTTTCAAAAATTGAAAAAGTGCCTGAAAATGGACAAAAATATAAGGGGTAAGTAGTGAAACACATCCTGATGACAAGTTGTTGGAAAAGCATTGCTGCAAGTCTGCTGCAGGTTTGTTACAACTTGGGCGTTTTTACGCGTGTACACGTAAGTCTGTCAAGAAGCAAGTTTGCTAACAAGCCGTCCCAAGTTGTCAACAAGTTTTGAACAAGCTGTTAACAACTTGCAACAACCTTGTTGATATTATCAGACTTGTTCCAAGGTTGTTCCAACAAGTCCGATACAGTCATGATGTAACAATGTTGTTACATCCTTGTGTCGTCAATCTTATAACATTCTTGTTATATCATGACTATATCAGATTTGTTAGAACAGCCTTGCTACAAGTCTGATAATACCATCAAGCTTGTTACAAGTTGTTAACAGCTTGTTCCAAACTTGTTACAACAACTGGGAACAAGCAGTGCGAACACAACTTGTTGACAGCTTTTACGTGTATTGCACTACTTGTTCCCAGTTGTTGTAACAAGTTTTAAAAAAGTTGTTAACAAAACTCCAAACTTGCTCCAAACTTGTTGACAACTTGGGAAAGCAGTACGAACACAACTTGTGGACGGCTTGTTGGCATTAACAACTTGTAACAAGCTTGATGGCATTATCAGACTTGTTACAAGGTTGTTCTGTCAAGTCTGATACAGTCGTGATATAACAAGAATGTTACAAGGTTGACCACACAAGGTTGTAACAACATTGTTATATCATGACTGTATTGGACTCGGTGGAACAACCTTGCAAACAAGTCTGATAATATAAACAAGGTTACAAGTTGTTAACAGTTTGTTCCAAACTTGTTGACAACTTGGGACAAGCAGTGCGAAGACAACTTGTCGACAGCTTGTTGACAGACTTGCTACAAGATGTGAGACTTTTACGTGTGTACTACACACGCAAAAGTCTCGCGTCTCGTAGCAAGTCTGCCAACAAGTTGTCTTCGCACTGCTTGTCCCAAGTTGTCAACAAGTTTGGAACAAGCTATTAACAACTTATAACAACCTTGTTGATATTATCAGACTTGTTGCAAGGTTGTTCCAACAAGTCCGACACAATCATGATATAACAATATTGTTACAACTTTGTGTCGTCAACCTTGTAACATTCTTGTTATATCATAACTGTATCAGACTTTTTACAACAACCTTGTAACAAGTCTGATAATGCCGTCAAGCTTGTTGCAAGTTGTTAACAGCTTGTTCCAAACTTGTTACAACAACTGGGAACAATCAGTGCGAACACAAGTTGTCGACAGCTTGTGAACAGATTTGTAACAACTTGTTTGCATCTGTAACAACTTGTGTACACACGTAAAAACACACAAGTTGTTAAAGGTCTGAAACAAGTTGTTACAAATCTTTTCACAAGCTGTCGACAAGTTGTGTTCGCATTGCTTGTTCCTAGTTGTTGCAACAAGTTTGGAACAAGCCGTTAACAACTTGTAACAAGCTTGATGGCATTATCAGACGTGTTACAAGGTTGTTCTAACAAGTCTGATACAGTCATGATATAAGAATGTTACAAGGTTGACGACACAAGATTGTGACAATATTATTACGTCATGACTGTATCAGACTTGTTCGACGAACCTTGCAACAAGTCTGATAATATCAACAAGGTTGTTACAAGTTGTTAAAAACAGCTTCCTGTTTCGTTGCTCTATGTCAGTGGCTCTGATCATTGAACTATAAATAAACTGGAAGGCTAACTCAGGGGGGGGG